GAGAGGGAAGCGAGAGGGAGGGGGAGGGAGGGAGAGGGAGGGAGGGAGAGTGAGAGAGGGAGACGGAGGGAGGGAGAGGGGGAGGGAGGGAGAGGGGGAGGGAGGGAGAAAGAGGGGGAGGGAGGGAGAGGGAGGGGGAGAGAGGGAGAGGGAGGGAGAGAGGGAGGGAAAGGGAGAGAGAGGGAGAGAGAGGGAGACATGACATTTTCCAGTTCCAGGCATTTTGCAGTAAATGACAAGATTTCATCCTGTAATATATAGCTGGATGGTACTTCACTGTATCCATGTACTACATTTTCTTTATCTATTCATCTGATGATGGACACCTTTGTTGATTCCACACTTTGGTTACTGTGAACAATGCTGCTATAAACATGGCAGAACAGGTGTCTCTTTGATACAATGAGCTCATGTCTTCTGGGGTATATACCTGGTAGTGGGATTGCTGGATCACAAGACATTCCATTTCCATCTCTAGATTTAAGAAATCTCCATACTGTTTTCCATAGTGGTTGCACTACTATCATGCTGTTTTAGGTACTATTGCTTTGTAGTACACTTTGAAATCAGGTATTGTGATGCCTCCTGCTTTTATTTTATTTACTTATTTTCTGCTCAGAATTGCTTTAGCTATTCTGGGTCTTTTGTGGTTCCGTATGAATTTCAGGATTGTTCTTTCTAATTCTGTTAAAGAATGTCACTGTTTTTTTTTTTAATTATTTTTAATAGAAAGCTTTTATTTAATAAATTTCAAAAGTACAACTTTTGGATTACAGCGGTTTTTTCCCCCATAACCACCCTCCCACCTGCAAACCACCCCACGTCCTACTCCCTCTCCCATCCTATTCTTCATTAAGATTCATTTTCAATTAGCTTTATATACAGAAGATCAACTCTATACTATGTAAAGATTTCAACAGTTTGCACCCACACAGACACAAAAAGTATAAAGTACTGTTTGAAGACTAGTTTTACCATTAATTCGCATAGTACAACATTTTGAGGACAGAGGTCCTACATGGGGAGCAAGTGCACTGTGACTCCCATTGTTGATTTAACAACTGACACTCTTATTTATGACATCAGTGATCACCCGAGTCCCTTGTCATGGGCTGCCAAGGCTATGGAAGCCTTTTGAGTTCACAAACTCCGACCTTATTTAGACAAGGCCATAGTCAAAGTGGAGGTTCTCTCCTCCCTTCAGAGAAAGGTACCTCCTTCTTTGATAGCCCCGTCTTTCCACTGGGATCTCACTCAAAGATCTTTCATTTAGGTCATTTTTTTGCCACAGTGTCTTGCCTTTCCATGCCTGAGAAACTCTCATGGGCTTTTTAGCCAGATGTAAATGTCTTAAGGGCTGATTCTGAGGCCAGAGTGCTGTTTAGGGCTTTTGTCATTCTAGGAGACTACTGTGTATCCCGCTTCCCATGTTGGATCGTTCTCTCCTTTATAATCCTATCAACTGTTACTAGCAGACACTGGTCATGTGATCCCTTTGACACTTAATCTTATCATTATGATCAGTTATGAACTTACACTGATCACTTTAACTAGTAAGATGGCATTGGTACATGCCAACTTAATAGGATTTGGAGTCCCATGGCACGTTTCTAGCTCTACCATGAGGGGTAAGTCCGAGTGAGTGTGTGCCAAACTGTACATCTCCTCCCTCTCTTATTCTTGCTCTTATTTTTAACAGGGATCAAGTTTCAGTTGGGTTTAAACACTTAAGAATAATTCTGTGTTAAAGAGTTCAACCAATGGTATTAAGTAGAAAAGAAAATACTAAAAAGAATAAAATAGTAAGCTGATCCTCAACAGTCAGGACAAGGGCAGATCAAGTCACTGCTTCTCATAGTGTCACTGGAATTTTGATAGGGAATGCACTGAATTTGTGGGTTTCTCTAGGTAGTAAAGATATTTTTTTAAAGATGTCTTTTTCTTTTTTATTTGACAGATAGAGAGTTAGACAGTGAGAGAGACAGACAGAGAGAAAGGTCTTCCTTCCGTTGGTTCACCCCCCAAATGGCCGCTATGGCCGGAGCTACACCGATTCGAAGCCAGAAGCCAGGTGCCTCCTCCTGGTCTCCCATGTGGGTGCAGGGGCCTAAGCACTTGGGCCATCCTCCATTGCCTGCCTGGGCCACAGCAGAGAGCTGGACTGGAAGAGGAGCAGCTGGGACTAGGACCCAGCACCCATATGGGATACCAGTGCCGAAGGCGGAAGAATAACCAAGTGAGCCATGGTGCCAGGCCCAGTAAAGACATTTTAACAATATTATTTTTTCTAAACCATGAGCAAGGAATACATTTCTATATTTTGAGTCCTTGATTATTTCTTTTCAATGTCTTTTAATATTCATTGTATAGATCTTCTACTTCTTTGGTTAAATTTATTCCTAAATAATTGATTTTTAGAGGTATTGCAAATAGGATCGCACACTCTCTCTCTCTCTCTCGCCCTCTCTTATTTTTTTTTTTTTTACCAGAACATCAATCACATAGGCGTAGTTCAGATGTAACAGCAATACTAAAATTGACAAGGGATTTCTTTCTTGATCTTTCAGCGAGATCATTATTGGTGTATAAGCATGTTGTTTCCTGCCTGCTGATCTTATATCCTGTGACTTTACTGAATTGGTTTCTCAGTCCAGTAATGTTTTAGTGAAGTGTTTCGGTTTCTCCACGTACAACACTGTGTCTCATCAAACATGGTTGCTTTGACTTCACTCTTTCCAATTTCAGGGCCCTCTGTTTCTTTCTTCCCTGATTGCTCTTGCTAATATTTTCACTACTACAGTAAATGATAGTGGGGAAAGTGGACATCCTTGTTTTTCCCACATCTAAAGAGAAAAGCTATCAGTTTGTCCCCATTCAGTATGATATTGGCTGTTGGTTTTTCCTATATAGCCTTTGTAATTTTGAATATGTATGTTCCTTCTATACCTTTTTTTTTTTTTTTTTTTTTTTGGACAGGCAGAGTGGACAGTGAGAGAGAGAGACAGAGAGAAAGGTCTTCCTTTGCCGTTGGTTCACCCTCCAATGGCCGCCGCGGCTGGCGCGCTGCGGCCGGCGCACAACGCTGATCCGAAGGCAGGAGCCAGGTGCTTTTCCTGGTCTCCCATGGGGTGCAGGGCCCAAGCACCTGGGCCATCCTCCACTGCACTCCCTGGCCACAGCAGAGAGCTGGCCTGGAAGAGGGGCAACCGGGACAGAATCTGGCACCCCGACTAGGACTAGAACCCGGTGTGCTGGCGCCACAAGGCGGAGGATTAGCCTAGTGAGCCACGGCGCTGGCCTCTTCTATACCGAATTTGTGGAGGGTTTTTATCACAATGGGATGTTGAACCTTACCAAATAATTTTTAAAAGTAGAGATACAACGGGAAGAATGGCTGTGCTAATTAACATTAAGCAGAGGAATACAGAAGTGTGCACATCACACACTTCTAGTGAACAGCTGCTGGTTTTAGCTGATGTCCAATGCTGTGAGGATTTTTTAACCTTATTGACTGAGTTAGCTGTTCATTTTGGATGATGATGGACTAATGAAAGTCCTGAAATGGCCTGTTCACTTTTTATTACCAATTTTTTTGCATCAGAATAAACTATGTTGTTGGTTGTCTATCTTCTCACCCTCTGACCTGGGAGGCATCATAAAAAATCCCGTCACTCTTTCACTCAAGTGAGAATTTGGTGTCAGAATCCCTCATAACACAATAGTCCAGGCAGTTGTTAGACGATGAAGACACGAAGACGTTTCTACACTGGATTTTGTTTTGGAGATTTATTTATCTGAAAGGCAGAGTGACAGAAACGGAGGAGAGAGACACAAAGAGAGAAAGAGGGAGAGATATCTTCCATCTGCTGGTTCACTCCCCAAATTGCTGCAGTGGGCAGGGGAAGAGCCAGGCTGAAGTCAGGAGCCAGGAACTCAATCTGGGTCTTCCCTGTGAGTGGCAGCTGCCCAAGCCCATGGGCCATCCTCCACTGCTTTCCCAGGCCTATCAGCAGGAAGGACACGGGAAGCGGTGCAGCTGGGACTCAACATGGCTGCCAGGGTCACAAGGGCAGACTTCACCTGCTGTAACAACGCCGGCTCTGACGCTGCAGCCTTAGGCCAGACGGTGTCCGGTAAGTCTACACCCCGTCTTCAGAAACAGTTACACAACAGTGTCCCTTATACACTTACTGCATTAGGCTATGACCAATTTAGTGTTGTTTTAGTATTTCTTAAAAATACTTCTTCAGGAAGAACTCGGTGATGTTGGCAGAGGCTTAGTATAAAACTGAAGGCACAGGAGGGGCTGTCTACAAACAAGGAGGCATAACCTCACGCACTGAAGTACCAGACACCAAGCAAAATTCAGAAACTACTGAATCCTCCAATTTGGTTCTAAAAACTGAATCAACTCCTAAAAATAGGTCTTCCTTGCTTTCTTCCCCATGATATTCAGCTCTGTAAACAAAGCTATTTTTGATACTTTAAGAATGCTGTGAAATCTCTAACAGAAATACACACAAAAAAGTACCAATTCATGAAACTACGAAGCTACCACTTACGTACGGGGATGTCAAGTAAAAATGGCACCTATTAGTCACGAATGGAACAAGACGGCCTCTGGACTCTCTTCTCTGTGAGCTGCAAGTCAGCCGCCGTGCGGCACAGCGTTGGGAGCACATGAGGTGACCTTTAGAAAAGCTTAGGTCATTTCTAGCTCAAACACAGAGGACTCGTTAGCCGTCTGCACAATCCAAAAAGCAAAGGCAATTTGGATGATATAATAAGCTCGGTTTGGCCTGAAATTCAAATGTATTTTTGAACACAACTCTTTCAGAACTGAGTTCCCTTTAATCAATTAAAAATATCACTTATAAATAAAAGCCTTGGCCAGACTCAGTGGGTGACTCCCAAATAGGTCCTTTTGTGTACAGAAAGGGAGATGTGGAAACAGCGTCAACAACACAGACACTGTTCAAGAGAGAACAAGCAGCAGCTAAGAGAGCAGCCACTCCTGCTGGTCACAGAACACGAGTTACTCGACTAGGGCAGCTGCACACGGCGTGCAGACAGCCGGCCGGGCGTCTCTTACCGTGCACCACCACAGAGGTTGTTCTGTTGCTGGCTCCGGCCACGCTGCTGGCCACACAAGTGTATTCCCCTCCATCCTGAAGCCGGGCTCGCTCAATGTGGAGGCTGCCATCGCTGCGCACGGTGACGTAAGGATTCTGGACCAACTGAAGGTTAATGCAAGGTCATTTTTAGGTTACAAAGGTGTTTACCTGAGCCAAACTAGATCTTTTTTTCTGACTGGGTTATTAAATGTGTTCTAATATAACAAAATATTTTACCACTCTTAAGTGGAAAAAAAAAAAAACCAGCATAAACTTTTAGCAAGACCGTATCAACTATATTTAATCTTGATGGTTCTCCACCAATTAAACCTACCAATAATTATCAGAAAGTTAGGCACCTGCTGAATACCACTTATGCTTCTGTAGATTTTTTTCGTAGGGGACCAAGATAAGTAATTTTAACTTTTGGCTTAAATCGCTCTTTTCCAAGAATCCTTCCTACCACCGGCAAGCCACCTGATGTTTTTATTCCGGCACACGGCACTCGCTGAAGCTGAAGGGAGCCATTTGGCCATTATGCAGCAAGTGCATCTGGCAGGCCGGCAGTGCTCACAGGTAAGAATGATCACCTCTAAATCCAGGCCATTCATGCACAGTGCACATGCAGCACATAACTGATCAAACAGTACCACCCCATAAAGCACTTTTTAAAAATTTATTAATTTTCATTTTTATTTGAAAGGAAAAAAGAGAGACAGGCAGACAGACAGACATCTTCCATCTGCTGGTTCATCCCCCAGATGGCCACAACAGCCGAGGCCTGGCCAGGATGAAACCAAGAGCGGGGAGCTTCATCCTGATGTCACACATGGGCAGCAGCCACCCAAGTTCGTGGGCCACCACCTGCTTCCTCCCACGCTGTGTATCACCACAGTGCTAATTTTTAAGTGAGGCGTAGTAATTTTCTCAGTTCTTATGCAAATATGAACAACTTATAATTTCCTGCTTGGAGTCAATTCACTTCTAATCAGTTCATAAGGAAGAGAGTGGGCCTGGAAAATGGAAGGAAACTGCTCTGAAGCAGGTCAAACTCCACCACGATAGGCGGCTGTTTACAAAGCAATGTCAGAAAACTATGAAAACTCCCACATCGCTTCATAATTAGAAGTTGTACACTGAAAAAAAATGGCACAGTGTAGACCGACATTTTCAACAGCTCCTGAGAGAAAGATGGAATGTCTGAAGTTCATAAAGACCAATTTAGGGGCCGGCACTGTGGCATGGTGGGTAAAGCCGCCGCCTGCAGTGCCGGCGTCCCATATGGGCACCAAATGCCGGCTGCTCCACTTCTGATCCAGCTCTCTGCATGACTTGGGAAAGCAGTGGAAGATGGTCTAAGTGCTTGGGCCCCTGCACCCGTGTGGGAGACCAGGAAGAGGCTCCTGGCTCCTGGCTCCTGGCTCCTGGCTTCGGATCAGCTCAGCTTGCAGCCATTTGGGGGAGTGAGCCAGTGGATGGAAGACCTCTCTCTCTGCCTCTCCTTCTCCCTCTGTGTAACTCTGACTTTCCAATAAATCAATAAATAAATTTTTTAAAAGACTAATTTATTAAAGAAACTTTTACAGTAATATTAACATTTCATAATATCCTACAAAGGAGGGTATGAAAATATTTAAATGCTATGAAAATTACACCACTCTTTCTCCATCTTATTGATCCCCAAATAATATGAATGACAAACACATTAGTGAAGAAAAGCTTTGATACATACATAACATATTTCTATTTATTAAATTGATTTTTCAATGGTTGAAATACATTTCTTTTTACTGAAGAAAACCGGAAATGTGGCTTTAAACTTTTCAGAACATTTAAAACCGTCCATACCACGGCTGAATTCTTAATCCATCGACGTTCTGGAATGGGATTTCCAGCCAACAGCGTACAAGGCAGAGTGAGCTGCTGTCCCTCAACGACACTGGCCACAGACGGGCTGATTCCAATAAGCGGGGCGGCTGAATTAAGAGAGCACAGGCACTTTCAAAACCGGACTTCACCCACAAAACCCCAAGCTATTTCATAGACCAAGATGTCCTACTGATTATGCTGCGAAATGGAACTTATAGGCACAAACGTTTTCAATGAAAATGAATGTCAGTCTGAACGTAGAGACATAGAATCCTTCTAAGCGGAGGGACTGGCAAGAGAACAGACAACAGCACAAGCACCTGCAGCACGCGAGGCCAGAAACGCCGACTGATGCACGGCAAACGCACTCATCAACAGGAAGGCACAGGAAGGCAGGACTGGCAGGACTGGCAGGACCGTTCTGAGGGAACTACCAGCTTGAAAAATGGCAGACGGCAAGGAGTGCAGCAGGAAGGTGGCGGCTGCAGTATCTCCCGCAAACAAGGGGGGATGGACTCTCTTAGATAAAATGGTCAATATGAGACTGCATGTTTTTAGAAATCAATAAATTTAATATAAAATCAAAGCCCAAAAGAGTTTTACTTGGAAAATCTGAGCCTATGTAAACAAATGGAGACATAAGTAAAACATTACCAACGGGTTTAAAAATCACATTAAACATACTGTGACTCAAACAACGTACTAATGCAGAAATAGCCCTCAAAAGAATAGACACAGGAATATACACTTAGCATGTGATATGTGGGTATCTGAATTAGGAAAGAGAATATTCAATAAATGAATTCAACTGAATCAGTGTCTCACCATATGACATTTACAAAAATAACTCCATGTGAATGCAAATGATAAATGCCAGCAAGGTAACCAGAGGAGGTCTCCACCACTCGCTCACCTGCACAAGCACTTACACTTAGATGCAAATTAATTTACCTAAATCAACCTTCACTAGGCACTTTCGGCAGATGATCTCTGATCCAAAAATTCTGTGAACTATGAGGTGGGGTGGGGAGGGAAGGCTAGTCCAGTAACCAGGTATCCACCTGGTTTAACAGAAAAGGAACACAAGCAAGAGGAGCTGCAGTTACAGGATTGTGCTTCTGAAGCGTGCAGTGTCTGGACAAATATCTTACCAAGTCCTGTCACCGTGACTGTTGTCTGGGACTGAATCTTTCCAAACTGGTTTTCAGCTTCACAAATATAGGTGCCTTCATCACTTGCCCATAAGCCTAAAAGAACAACGCATTTATCCATTCAGTCCCCGCATGGAGCAAGAACTATGTACCTGGCCCAGCACTGAGCTCTGTGGACAGGAAGTGAGGGACTGCTTTACAGCACCTCCCACCCCAGCAGAGTACAGCCAGGTGAGCCACAATCAAACCACAGCGTGACAAAGGTCACAGCCGGGGTTTCACACCATGAGCGGTGGCAGCACGCGGATGGGGGTGATGCCAGCGGGGGTGATTTGGAGGTAACATTTGGGGTTCCATCAATGAGAGGGTGGGACAGAGAAGGGCAGGCCAGATCCACTGGGTTACAAAGGCAAAGTGTGTTCTGCTGAAAGAACAAAAAAGCTGCATCACCAGGGACGCCTGCACCACCCCCGGGCATTGGGAAGTGCAGAGGGAGGATTTTTTTTTTTGGTTGGGTTCAGTGACTGGGGGGTGAACTCGGGCAAAGTTAGAGGGGTGATGCTGGGGTCAGATTCATAAAAGGGACAGTGATGCCAAGCCCAGTAAGATTTTTTAAGGTCCAAATGGAAATTTAAACATTTGACAGTTTTGTTTATAATCACATGAACCTACAACCTAAGTCTGGCAAAGGAGAAGAAAGACAAAACTTTAGTGATAATTTTCTAGCATTCTAGAAAAACTGTTTTCTGAGCCAGCGCTGTGGCTTAGTGGGTTAAGCTGCTGCAAGCAGCACCAGCATCCACATGGGCACTGGTTCGATTCCCAGCTGCTCAACTTCTGATCCAGGTCCTTGCTAATGCACCCTGGGAAAGCAGTGGAGAATGGCCTGAGGGCTTGGGCCCCTGCACCCATGTGGGAGGCCTGGAAGAAGCTCCTGGTTCCTGGCTTCTGTCAGGCCCAGCTCCAGCCACTGTAGCAATTTGGCAATTGAACCAGTGGATAGATCTGTCTCTCTTTCTCTCTGTGACCCTGCCTTTCAAGTGAAAAATAAATAAATCTTAAAAAAAATCATTTTATACCCTGGAGTTTCTGAGTCCCCAGTTCCATACCCTCCTGTCAGCCTGTACTGCAGCTGCTGAATCTGACAGTTCTATACCACTGTGAACGCAAGCTGAACACGGCCAGCGCATTTACCTACCCAAGCAGGAATTATCTTGGCAGAAACTAGTTTCCCTTATTTTTCCTTGGTACTACATTTTGGATATCAAGGTAATTTTTGCTATTTGGTATCGCAAATACCCGGAATTTTTCAAGATGATAAAAGGGAATCAGGATAGTGGGGTGATCAGGGTGGAGAGTACTGGGTTAGGAGTTGAGAGGCAACGTCAGGGGAAGGAGACTAAAGAGGTGCACTGGTACCTTACAGAGTGCGGTTCCATCCTGTGAGTGACAGCGAAGGCAAGAGAAGATGTTAAATGAGTGAGTGATAGTTTTGTAAACATCTTACTGAAAGCAAGCAGTATACTCAATTGATAAGATACGAATGCATATATTTATACAAAATGTATTTCCTTGGACCTACTTAAAATAGAGAGAGCTCCTGTTCGAAGCTGGCTGATGGAGCTGACGGAAAGGGGTCTCGAGAAGATGGGCACGTTGTCTGATCTTCGCCATTTGATCTTTGGTTCAGGATAACCCTGAACGTAACAGGGTAACGTCACGTTCGAGCCAATTTCCACAGACACATCAGCAGGTTCTTGCATGAAAACTGGAGGTGCTGGAATACGTTAGAAAGCAACAGGAGGGTCACTGGTGTGGCACACGGCGCGTTAGCAGAAACTTTATTAAGCTGTCAACAGGTGGGACTTGAATCAAATCACTGGTCACGTGATACTGTAAACCTGCCTGCGTTTATTCCTGACGCAGAAACAGCACATGCTCCTTCTGCTCCATAAACGCAGAAGCACTGGGCACCTTAAACAAAGAGAATCCTTCATTTCAGGGCTTTGTTTCCAAATTTCTGCTACACTGCTCACACTGAAGACTTTCCTACAAATACGTTGGACTCGTAATGAGACACTTTTTACTTTCTTAAACCTTCGCCCTTTGAGTGAATTTTTAAATAGCCTTAATTTATACTGGAGTTCATTCTGCACTAGTCATTACCTAAGAGGCTATCAGAATTTACTCCTAAATCAATACCACATCACTGATTCTTATAAACTGCAGAATCAATAAAACAAATTAAAGTAACTTGGTAAAGGGACAATGGTGATCTTAGTGGAATTAATGGCTCAGACGTTATAAAAGTAAGGATAAGAATACTACAGATATCCACTTAATTCAGCTCATCACAGAAGCCAGGAAGGAGAGAGAGACATTCACCAGGGGCCACCATGGAAAGCACAGCAATGCGTTACAGGGACGATGCTCGCAACACGCCCCAGGGACTGGTGGGGAATAACACTGGAAGCAGCAGGTAAGGAGAAACCAAAGGACACCACCGCGGGCTGTGGATGAACCCCGCTCACGCAGGACTCTGGGAGAAGGCCGCTCAGGGAGGCCTCCTGGAGGAACACAAGGCTGCATCTCACTTAGAGAGGCCAGCAACACCACGCAGAGTCGGGGACCGTATCAAGCGCCTTCCATCAGCCATCCGGTGGAACCTCCACAGTGTCCCTGTGGGACAGGCGCTGTTTTCACTCTGATGGTCTAGAAGGACAACCTGAAACCGAGTCACACTATTGGGTTTCAGCAGGGCTTCAACGCTGGAGGCGGCATTAACATCCGAGTCACTTCAACTTCAGAGCCGCAGCTCTGTCATTCCAGGAACCAGCCCTTCTCGATGGGTCCTAGTAACTGCCCGCAGTCACACTGTCTAGCAGGCTCATCAAAGAACTGCAGAGGCCTCCTCTTGCCTTCTCATGGGTTTGCAGACCGCTGCAGCCTCATGCCCCAGCTCTCCCTGCACAGACCCTGCTCGCTGGGCCCTCGGAGTGTGAGAGTGCCATCCCCCTCAAATGTAACGCCTGCTGGCGAATGCTGACCATCCACTAAGCCAGCTCCAAAGACCTCCCTCCACAACACTGCCTCTTTCTTTTTTATTTATTTATTTATTATTTATTTATTTATTTTTTGACAGACAGAGTGGACAGTGAGAGAGAGAGACAGAGAAAAAGGTCTTCCTTTGCCGTTGGTTCACCCTCCAATGGCCGCCACGGCTGGTGCGCTGCTGCCGGCGCACCGCGCTGATCCGAAGCCAGGATCCAGGTGCTTTTCCTGGTCTCCATGGGGTGCAGGGCCCAAGCACTTGGGCCATCCTCCACTGCACTCCCTGGCCACAGCAGAGAGCTGGCCTGGAAGAGGGGCAACCGGGACAGAATCCGGCGCCCCGACCGGGACTAGAACCCGGTGTGCCGGCACTGCAAGGTGGAGGATTAGCCTAGTGAGCCACGGCGCCGGCCCAACACTGCCTCTTTCTTACAGGATGGGTGGGATTTCTCCCCTCCTGAAGTTTCAGAGAAAATGCTCTCCATCATTCTCACAGCAACCGCCACGTGCAACCTGCTCGACCCTCAAGTTGGTGCTTTGTCCTGAGAGCTTATATTTGCAATTCTATGCCTGTCTTTTATAGCAACTGACACAGTACTCGGCGTGTTCTGTCTGGCTACTGGACATTAGTGAAGAATTATTAAATGCTATGAAAACAGCAGCAACATTTCAGGCTGTGTATATTAGTGTGATGGTGACAGCCTGGACTTCGTGCATTTGAACTTTCACTCTGGAAAACACTTTGCAACCTCAGAAGCCCTTTTGTTTGTTTACTGAACCTAAACAAAGTGTATTAAGGCACCACAATTGAGCAGTATGTTTTTTTTCAAGTAGGCCAATGCTAAGGAGGCTAGGAGGGCAGATCTACTGTTGAGCCTGCAATTTTAAAAATATTTTATTTATTTATTTGAGAGGTGGAGTTACAGAGAGAGAGAGGGAGAGACAGATAGAGAGGACTTCCATCAGCTGGTTCACACCCCAGATGGCTGCAAAGGTCAGAGCTGGGCAGATCTGAAGCCAGGAGCTTCTTCCAGGTCTCCCACATGGGTGCAGGGGCCCACGCAATTGGACCATCTTCTACTGCTTTCCCAGGCCATAGCAGAGAGCTGGATCAGAAGAGGAGCAGCCAGGACACGAACCAGTGCCCACATGGGATGCCAGTGCTGCAGGTGGAGGCTTAGCCCACTACACCACAGCGTCAGCCCCACTTTTTTTTTTTTTTTAAGGAACTTGCATATCTGAGGTTAGGTTTCTCTCTTTTTTTTTATTTTTTGACAGGCAGAGTGGACAGTGAGAGAGAGAGACAGAGAGAAAGGTCTTCCTTTGCCGTTGGTTCACCCTCCAATGGCTGCTGCGGCTGGTGCACCGCGCTGATCCAATGGCAGGAGCCAGGTACTTCTCCTGGTCTCTCATGGGGTGCAGGGCCCAAGCACCTGGGCCATCCTCCACTGCACTCCCTGGCCACAGCAGAGAGCTGGCCTGGAAGAGGGGCAACCGGGACAGAATTCGGCGCCCCGACTGGGACTAGAACCCGGGGTGCCGGTGCCGCAAGGCGGAGGATTAGCCTAGTGAGCTGCAGCGCTGGCCGGTTAGGTTTCTCTTAATCCATCTATATGAGAATTTGACTTACAGAAATAATGGGTAAACAGAAATTTAAACTAATTTATAAACTAGTTCACTGCTTGGTTATTCTGTCTCTAACACTTAGTTACTTTTCTCTGGGGTGACAGCAGCCATTTATTCCAGAGCTGCTACATCTTTTCTGAAAAAACAGAGATGAAGTAAAACAATCTCCAACACAACATGACCAGGTGAACAAGGAAATGGGACAGGAAATAAACTCTAGAAGAGCAAAAAGAGAAGCAGAATCCTGAGGTCAGCCAGGGACTTGGAGGAAAATCCAATTTACTGACACATTAGAACACTGCCATTGGAGCCAGCGCTGTGGCACAGCAGATTAACACCCTGGCCTGAAGTGCCGGCATCTCATACGGGCGCCGGTTCGAGACCCGGCTGCTCCACTTCCTGTCCAGCTCTCTGCTGTGGCCTGGGAAAGCAGTGGGAGATGGCCCAAGTCCTTGGGCCCCTGCACCCGCATGGGAAGACCTGGAGGAGGCTCCTGGCTCTTGGCTTCGGATCGGCACAGCTCCAGCCATTGCGGCCAATTGGGGAGTGAGCCATCGGATGGAAGACTGACCGACCTCTCTCTCTCTCTCTCTGCCTCTCCTCTCTCTGTGTAACTCTGACTTTCAAGTAAAATAAATAAATCTTTAAAAAAAAAAAAAAAAGAACACAGCCGTCATGTACATTGAGACAAATTAGAATTTTCGAAACTAATAAGGCCACAGGAATAAAACCGCGTAAACAGAGCTCCAGCTGCGCCCACAAGGTCAAAGGGGAGAAAGGCCTGGCTGCTCGGGAAACAGCACCAGGTTCATGATGAGCACGCGCCTGGAGTCTATGCGCCGGCACCAGAGAGCAGGGCCGATGAGACTACCAGGCACTGACAGCACAGCCAGGACTGCCAGGGCGACAAGCAACCTTGGGAAAGGAAGCAAGACCGAACTGGGCCAAGAAGTCCTTTAAACACTTCCTCCCCGAGTGTGGCAACACACTCCACGTCAGTGGACGGTGAGCAGATCAGTGAGAGCGGGGAGGGCCCAGTGAGTGCGGTCAGCGCCGCCGCCCGTGTGCAGGAGGCCGGCCCCTCAGCGTTTACAGTGGCAGCTCCACTGCGGCTGCTTCTGAGAGCTTGGGAAAATCACTTCACCTCCTCCAGCCTCAGTTTCTCCACTGACCAAGAAGAGATGGCAACATTCCCCGTCTCACGCCGTTACAGGAGGCAATCTTAGTTATAGCACACAGTGATAGTTCAAATGTTAGTCATCATTAATCATAAACACTAAAGAGTGGACTTATTAAGTCTTCTTTCTCAAGCTTAATAATGTATCTATTGTTCATTTCAATCCCGGCTTTCTCTTGCAGTCGGTAATGTCAAGGTTTGACCCTTTTTCCTACCCAGAGAGCTGCCCAAGACCAATCCTACGGCACAGCTTTGTTCTCACAAAGAAAAGGAAGTGGCACACCCTATTTTGGCAACACAAAAATCACCAACAGATTGATCATCTTGCTCTAAAAATTATTCCATGAAATTATTCTAGTTGCTTAGTGACAATTACACACACAGACACACACAGACACGCAACTCCTTCGTGCGTTGCTCTAATATCCTCTTTTCTAAAATGACGTGTTGCTTTGGCTCTACCAAAACACAAAACATGAAACCACAGCCAAAGCCTCATGGCTTGGTGTGGTGCAGAATGCTACAGATTAAAGTTGTGCCAGTCCAACTTTTGTGTTTGATGCAGCCAATCCTCTTTCCCCTCAAACAACTTCACAAATCACTACCCCATTTTGCAAAAGATAGAAGGCATCAGTCACTTTCCCTGTTGACCTGAAATGTTCATCACTTAAAGCTCCGATAATGAGAGATAGGAAAAGGGGCACTACTACAAGAAGCGACATCTGAAGAACAGTATTAAGCAGTCTTTCTATTATTTTCATGATCCAATTGTTGATGTGAGGTAACAGGCCCACAAAAACAAGCTGAAAGCCCAAGTGACTATGATACAGATAAAAGCATGCTTTCCTTCTTAAATCATAAGCCACTCAAATTTATGACCAACAGTTCTGGAAAATAAATGTATAATTTATGCACTACTAAGT